GACGAGGTCACTCAACGTATGGATGAGGAGAAAAATGTAGAAGTCTGTTAATTAGACTTCGTAAAGCATTTGACTCTGTCAGCCATAGATTGTTGGACTTCAAAGTTCGGAGCCTAGGTATAACAGGTAGAGCCGGGGACTGGATTGCAGCCTTTTTGAACAACCGCACCTTCCGGGTCAAGGTGGGTGACGACATTTCTAAACCTGAGGTGGTTACGAGTAGAGTTCCCCAGGGCTCAGTGCTAGGCCCCCCACTTTTTCTCTTATTCATCAAAGATCTGGCATAGGATCTTCAAAATCCGTGTTTCATGTTTGCTGATGATGTCAAAATGACAGGGTTAGACTTAAAAAGGCACCTAGAGGTAGTCCATCGACGGTCGTTCAAGTGAGACTTACCTTTGAACCTAGAAATGAGATGTGGGACATACTCGTTTAATGGGGCTCCCATGCAGCGGGCCCCGCAGATGAAACATCTAGGGGCTCTTATGACCCAAGATTTTAAACCCTCAACTCGATGTTCCAAGGTTGCTAATCAGGCTAGAGGGCAGCTATTCAGATTGTGTGCCACAGTGACATGCAGAAGGCCTGAATTTTTCATCCCACTGTATAAATCTATTGTGATCCCACACATGGAATATTGTGTGCAGGCATGGGNTTGCAGGAGGGATGTAACGTGCTTAGAGCGAGTGCAACGCCTAGCCACCCGAATGGTGGCTGGGCAAAAATGGAAAAGCTATGAGCAGCGGTTATGAGATCGAAATCTCTTTTCGCTGGAGCATAGACGAGTGAGGGGAGATCTGATAAAGATCTTTGAAATTGTGAGAGGTCTATCGTTACTCAACCTAGATGACTTGTTTACGATTTCTCGTGCTCAAAACATGAGAGGTCATACCTATAAACTGCAACAGAACAACGCCAGGTTAGAAGTACGGGCCATCTTCTTCGCACACAGGGTCATACCTGTGTGGAACAGGTTACCCGCAGAAGCGGTCAACTGCGCCAATGGTAACACCTTCAAAGGGGCCCAGGACGCATGTTTGTCAGCAACGTTCCCCGAAGTTAGTATTTACACTGGGAACATTAAGAGTAAATTCTACTTTAGCCAGAAGTTTTGAAATGATATAAACTTTGGCTTCAGTGTTGAAATGATTCTAAAAACTGACTATCCTGTCACGTCACATGTGTATACTAACGCATGTGTACTTGAGGTACCTAACCAATAGGGCGAGGAGATCTTCTTGCTTGTTTTCCTCCCTTTCGGCATACCCCCAAAGAGACAACATTCTGGATACGGTGTTAAAGAGAGAGGATCACAAATACCCAATCAATTGTACGTACTGTTGGAAGCTACTGCCATCAGCCGACAACAAAATGAACTTCACGCTCGATTGGCAAGAGCAATATTCGTCCTATGCAAGCAGAACTGAACTGAACTGAACTGAATGTCCTGCTCACATACGTGCACGTAATCAAACCGATAAGATGACATTTGAACGTGGAGTCAGTTTCCATAATGATATAGATGTACAAAATTTGAAACTTTAAAGTGTTTTAATTTCTCTGGAATAGTGGTAGTTTCAGTTTCAATTTCTACAACCATTATTCATGCACTATCGTACGCCAGTTTTGGTTGCTGTCTTTTGCCTGCCCATTTGGACGAACATGAGGAGAAAGACCGGAACGGTTGAAAGGTCGATAATACAGGTAATGGGAAGCTAGTAATGTTTTATTCAAACGCTGCCTGGCGTTATACTTCAGTGATGACCTAGCTCCATTGTGCTGGCATTCGGTCACATACATAGGAATACCAACAAGCCGGTTCATTGGTGATTTGTGTTGGTTGTTCAACACCACTCTATTGATGCTCGTTAATGTCAATATGATCCGCAGAAGAATAGTTTCAACGCTTGATTTCACACTACCCAAATGTAACCAAATAACTTTTCAATTCTTTAACTGACAAATTTAACCGTGCTTCAGAGGTATGACAAAAGTGTTGCGTTAGGCAAATCATGCATGTGTCCCAATCAGGCGCCCTGTATTTTGGTGATGTTTTTACCACAGTTGCATGTGACGTGGACACACGCTACGTCTCGTTAGGTTGCTGAAGGTTAGAGTGTGGCAGCGCTGCCACCGTAAGTCAAATTCTGGGCACAAATTATGAGATTTTGGACAAGGGGTACAATTTGTATTCTCAGTTCTCATTTTTAGACCTACTGGTGTATACTGGACGATAAATTTTACTTCCGGACTATTAACAGGTTGAATTCAGTTGATCAAAATTTATCCACAGTCTGATCACCCGTCAAAGGCATACTGTCTCCAGACTGAGGATATTCCTATGGGATGGGGGTGGCGGGTGGAGAGATCGGACTGACGTGCTCACAACTGTCCGGTTAGTTGTATAAATAATATATCAGAAGCATGAATTCCCTGCTGTCAGTTGGTAAATTGACTATGTTCCTTCGTGTAGCTGTTTCCATCGGCCTACTTTCAGTAGCCACATCCAGTGGGTTATATTGCTGTTGATGCGCTTATATTTCTTTAACTGCACTGAAAAGGGACAATATCTCCTAATAAATTACTGGTGTATGTAAACGTAGCAACAGTAGCAAGTTTTACAGGGATCACATGAAAAGTATTAGTTGGTATTATGAGGGTCCGTCCTACTGATTAGCAAGGCCCAACACTTTCCAAAATGATTAAATCACAGATGTTTTATTCAGCTCAATGTAAATCTCTTTCTCTTTATAGTTCCTCTATTTGGTTTGACGGACCCGGGTGAGTTTCTTTTGTAGTTGATGAAGTGTTGTTCTACACTTGCTTATTTGGTATGCAATAATGAATAATTATTGATTGAATTGAACTGACTATCCTTCGCACGCCAACTTCACACACAATCCTCAATTCATTGATTCAACCATAAAAGTGGACGCGCTAGACTCTAGTTTCTCTCCTATTAGTGCTCATCGGTAGTGCATATCCACCGTCCCGTCCGGGATTTGGACTCGGGACCCATCGCATGGAAGATGTGTGCGTTACCACTGTGCCTACCATCCCATACCATGAGTGAACCCAACTGCCTATTTATTTTTGTTCAGGTGTCGTCTTCAGTGGAAGTCAGTCAGTTTATTTAGCTCGACAGCAACGAAGGGAGACACAGATTACAATCTGTTAACTCTACTATACACCACTGATAATCTCTAATAAGAGCAAAACTCGAGTAGTTTATTACTTCCGAGTGCCAAATTTGGTATTGATGACTTGTGCGATTAAAAATCAGATGATCAACAATTCATGGAACTGGGGGAGGTGAAATGTAAAACGGACGGGGTAAATCCCATAGCCATAAAGATATGATACTGAGTCATTGAAAATGACACTATTTACCCCACAGATTGGAGGGACAAATTACAGACCTCTACTGGTTAGGCGCAGTACTGTGCTGGAATAATACGAGCCTGCCTACCACTAAACAATGCCATTAGAAGACAAAATTAGTTGGACAGTATGAGCTATGCTGTGCCGTGCCATGCCAGAATTTCGAAGGAACAAAGTAGGTTTTGACAGTGCAAGCAGATCAAATAAGGTTTAGCATTTTGCGTGTTTTGATATATATATATAGTTCGGATTTTATGGGTCGCACATATGTACACCCGCGTATGTGTGCAGATATTACGTGTTTTCTATTATTGTTTTTCCTGTTCACGTAACACAGAACTCTTTTCGGATCTCGCATGTCCACATCAGGAACTAGCCGAGATAGACCACATATGCGACTGGTTGTCTGGTAAGTAATTCTCTTGGATTCCGGAGCAACCGATCTTGTGCAAACGGATCAGAAGATATTACCTTTCGATCTAATTCTGTTTTCATTCCCACATAACGTTCGTTGCGCAATGCCTAATCGTATTAAATCAGAAAACGGTTTGAAGACGCATAATGGTTATCCGTTCGAGTGAGCGCATTATATGTAGATTAGGTTATCGCGGAGTTAATAGTTAAACAAAAACGGTTCCGTAACGATTAAGCATTGTTAAGCCCTTTCGTTTTGCTTCCCGAAGTGTGTGTTCAATTCCATCAACGCTACCAAAAATACTTGCAATACTTGAGCTATTATGGCTGTCTGGTTCAGAACCAACCTACAAGAAAACGAATGTATCTTAATCTAGAGGAAAATACAGATAGAAAGTAAAGGGACAGTTTTTATAAGACAAAATAGGCAGAAGTTGCAAAAGTTTAATTATTTGAAGCAAGGGTAGAGTTTTCATGACGTTGCCGGTACTAACCAGCAGAGCTTATCAAACTGACGAATCAACTGAACGTTTAAGGGCAAATCTTGGTTCCAAGAGTGCTGCGCCAATGAGCTGTTTATTGATCATTTCCAATAAAGTGAAAGCATACGAGTGGCATTTTCAAGTATCACGTTTACATCAATACATTTGATTTTTCACAGGCACTAGCCACTGTTGATGATCTTGGGTGTGGATTTCAATTCTTGAGAGATTGTATGTTCCTCACATGTTAAACTCATTTTTATGCAACCGAAACCCCTATGATTAATTTTGAAGAGCACTTCGCAGACGTTTCATGCCGTCCGGGAATGCTCAGCAGTCAGTCATTGACAGAACCGATCAAAGAGCCTGATGCCTGTGAACAAAAGAATGACCTAATCCAAGAGCCATACCCTAAATTGCTTGAACCATTCTTACAAGGTGATGATCGTGGAACGTGCGGATCGGTGTTAAATGGGTTTCAACTCCCTACTCGATGCTTTGTAAATCGAGTGCTGATAGGGAAAGCAAAAGTACGCATAGCACCAAGTAGGAATAAGCAGCTGCCCAATACTCTTTAATGGTCATCATAGATATTTTCATTGCACAAAGTACGTGTGTGGGGTTCCACATATTTTAGGTTTAATTTTTTGTTGTCATGCCTTCGAACCAATAACCACAAAAGGCTGCTACAGTTTTTGTTCAAGATTTCTTCGTTATATTTTGTATAACTATACGTTCAATCAAACGTATGTGTTTCCAATACGTGCCTCTCAGGAGCCTTGACAGAAATGATTGGTAAGTTGATCGTTTAATGTCACGTAACTGGTTGAACTCTGCGCGGTTCTAAATGAATTTCGGTTTCTCGGTTGCAATTTGCTTAACACCTAATCCTTTTCATTGTCAACTGTTTGATGCTTGGATATGAGGACAGAACGAACAGAAGATTTGTACCAGGTATAGAAGAAGATCTTTCCCAATATATTTGTTTTTGAAAACATATCACCGAAACAACATTTTGTTTTGGCATGACTTGCTGTTTTTTCTAAAACTTTGACTACCAATTATGATTTTGAAGTTTGAGCAACCTGATGTTCCAGTGTGAGCTCTCCTCGACAATTGACATGATGTTTAAATGTGATGTGTCCATCTGTCAAATATACTCAAACATAATTAAGTGATTGCGGAAATTTTGAAATATCTTTTAATCAAAATGTAATGGTAAAAAAAGAGGAATCACTTCGGATACCCAGGAATTTACTAATCACCTTCTCAGTTTTGCCCTTTTTTACAAACCGAAAACTGCACATGTGATCATCATTTAGTTGGCCTCTGTGCATGCAAGCCATCAAGAATAGTCTATTCATCTTCTTGTAACCTCAAACTGTACTCCCAAAGACACTCATGGAATAATTCCGTCTGGATTACATAGGTAATGAAGCCTCTGGGTTACTGGACTCAAGTCCAACTAGTGTCTATATGTATATTGCAAAGTACAGGAGTTATCACCTAGTTCTTAAGATTTGATCACATTATTTGATTTACAATTTCTATTTATATCGAATGAAAAGCATTGTGTAGCTGCTCATTGGAACGGGCCGGTTGTAATTAGTTATTAGTACTGCGCGGGAACAATGCTTAGCAATCGGAAAACTGCGAATTCTGAACTCCCAAGCCAGTGCACATAAACAAGGAATTGAAGTAAGCACGTTTTCAGTCTTGCTAATGAAGTGATCGCGCACATATCATGACTCTTAATGATGAACAAATACAAGAACATGTATTGGATCCATTTTCCGGCAACCGATCAACTGCGACCAGACCCCGGGAATATTGAACACCAGAAACAGCATGGGTAATGACCAATCCAAATCATGTAGCTGAGGTGGTTTATGCAAAGCACAAAATGATTCGTTGTGAAATTCAGATCGAAGCGTACAGTACGCGTTGAAGCCGATTCACATCGGTTAGACCAAGAACAAGCTNAACAAGCTGACAAACTCGCTTTAACAATTGGGTGTGAAGTTTAACGAATGAGAAGTATTAGTTACGTACAGTTCACGAGCACAAACAACCGTCCAGTTTGAAGCGTTCGAGGTTCAAAACTATCATGACATGGAAAGTTAATGGATAAAGGGGTTTTGGATGTAATATGATGTACATTGAAGGGTCATCAAAGATCAGCTAGGACGGTAGGTTGATCATTTGATGCCAGGCAATGTAGCTATGGTTTATCAATGAAACTGTACAATCTGTTCATACGATAGTGTTTACCAAGAAGGATTTCGTTATTTTTCATGTTCTACTTAGTTCTATTTGTACACAGGATTCAAAATGTCCTGATTATGTTAAAGGCAATGTCGAGTGCATTGATTAATGGTTAGTTGACAGTTCCGTTTCTTTATAATTACTCTTTTAATAAGCACCCATATCCGATCTATTTCAGAATGCCTAAACATTAATTTGGATTCATTTCATTTCTGAGAGGTAAGAGTTCCTGGATTCCATTTATTCGAATACGTGATTCAACTAAGGACACATTCATTCTTGTTCCTTTAGACAAGACGAATATGTCTACATTTTACTTGAAAGTGTGCCTTTTCTGCAAAACCGATCTTTCGAGTTCTTTAGCATTGACTATTGTACTGAAACTTTAGCGAGTTATATAAAAACTTTCAGCCAAAAAATCTACCACCCTTACAATCCTGGTAAAAAGAGTTGAAAATGTGGAATGGCAAATATACAGTAATATGAGTAAATTACTAGGTGCATTAGAAAGCTCAGAACAAACACTTTCCTTGTCGATCAGTATCCAGGCCAAATAGAGTACTAAAGAGTTTATGTATACAGATATGCAAGACAGGATAAGTTTGCACTTAGAACGGGGGAAAGGGGTGGGATTTTCGTGCACATAAGTCAATAAGTAAAGGATCGCTGCAGTTGTGACGTGGGTACGGAAATCGCGCAGCAAGTATGAAGACCCACGAGAACCCTCTCTCACAGTCAGACACGCTCACACAGGGAGAACACTACTGTCGCGCACGAACGTATATTAACGCACAGAACGGACATCAAAATACAATGTACAAACTGTATTTGGGGAGGGGGAGTACACAAGGTTTGTATTGATTATGAATTCTCATGAATTTTCGGACTCTTCAGCTTGTTTGTACTCAGTCTTCACCGTATTCAACCATTGCGCGCCTGAAAGGGACAGCGAACGTAAGGCAATTATTAGTACCGAACACATGCCAATGCCGTTAAACATTCAGATAGGATACTGTCAGCAAATTTCAAGCACAATCAATGTGAGTGTTACACGTATTATCACAAAGAACAATAACGAATTTGGGAGACCCGGTCGATCTTTGAGAAGTCTCAGCAACGCCTCAGCAACTTGAAATCAGCCTTCAGCTAAACAACGCATGCTACTAAAAAAACGATGATCTTTGACTGCGTGTCACACATCTGACACTGATTTCTGTGACTTAAGTATTCATTATTTCCATTTTTGTATTTCCAGCAAACTCTTTACCGCATGCAAACAAATGGAAAGTGTCGTCAACGTTGAACAGCTATATTTTATATTTGTAAAGATTGTAAATTGTGTACTTTTGAAATAAATATCTCTAAATCGAAAACTTTTATCATGCTTTATGTCTCTAAACAATGGAAAACATGAAGGAAGGACTTTTCGCAAAGCGGGCAGTGAATTTGGCAGTTTGTTTAATGTGGGTAAAACCACAAGTTACATCCAACAGAAAAAAGCGGTCTGAGAAACAGTACCAGAGATCTTCGAGTATTTCAAAAGGATAATAAAAATTAGTCCCTCTTCAAATGACATATAATAAAATGTAAAAACCAAACCATCGATGCCTCATTCAGCAGATACACTACTATATTTGTGTAAGACTCGCATATGAATAGTAAAATACAAACAATATGTTGAAAATGCTGGTTTTCGTAACATCGATTTCAGTTATTTATAGTTGCTTAGAAGCATGCATTTAAGGTGTAAATGGACGTGATTAATTCACCAAGTTAAATCAGAAAGAAGCACATCGTCTTTACAGTTTTATCACTGCATGTTAAGTAGGCACGGGGGCCAATTTTTACGCTGGAAATTTCTGATAATTATTTTCTTTCACGCGTTACTCGTCACGGGTCACGTAATGGGTCGTTTTTTGGTTTGTCACGTAGGTTTTGGCTGGATCCAACACAAATGAAGTGTGGTAACAATTGTCTTCTGTCCACACAGTTGTGGATTCAGTATTTTGTTTGCAACTGTTTCTATCGTTTACACGCGATGCTATCGAACTTAGTTCTACTCGTTTGAGGCTAATTTACAGTTAAACCTAAACACGTTGNTGAGGAAGCCCCAATAAACCTCGATCATTTCGGACACTAAAACGCTAGGAATTCGTTAGATGTCATTCATAGCTCGTTGCTGACACGTTCTTGATGTAGCAATAACATGAGAAAAAATCGGGGTAGCACAGTCTTGGATTTCAACACC